ATATATACATATATATTGTAAAATTTCCCAAAACAATTCTGGAGTAAATGTAACTATGACAACAAAAACATTTTGCTTTCATTGTTTGCTTTGATAAAATCGGAAGACGAAACGCGTCGGCAAAAACTAAGATTTTTTCCTATTGTCATTCTTAAATCACCCCCCACACACACATATATATATATATATATATATATATGAACAAATAAGGAACAAGTAGGAAAAAATTATAAATTTAGCTAGCTTTGTTACAGCTGCAATAAAAACATCGAAATTAAGAAACGCTTTTCTATTTGTTCCTTATTTAATTGATCTGTCAGCTTTAATTCGTTTTTTTACCTTCATAATGTACTCAACTTTCGTCTTGGCCAGGTAAGGGCCAAGCAAGATGAATATAAAGTAAATAAAGAACTCAACCGGAATTGAAACTCCGTTCTCCGATTTCCAATTCGTTATGCATTACACCCCCCGCACATTCACAGCACCTGGTATTCGCAAACAGTCACCTATATAGGTACTAACCAGGCTCGATATTGCTTAACTTCGTGACGATATTGGTTGATCTGTAAGATAAACCCGCTGACCAATGCTCAACGGTAGAAGCACAAGTAAAGTTAAATGACCTGTTTTAAATATACATGCTTAAAATATCCGCTTTTATCTCACGTCACGTCTGTTAACTGTCTCTTCCATTTAATTCTGTTTAGCCCTTGGTAAGACATGACTGAAAAGGCGGAAGAAAATACAGAAACAAACTTCGTGGAGAAACTGAACAAAAATGAGAAGCCGCCACCGGAAACTGGACCCGGAAGTCGGATTGCCGCTCTTCCTATCCCGATCCAAAAGCGGATTAAGCGACTGGACAAATGGAATGTCGAGTTACAATTTTCAACACATGGAATGCGCTCGCTGACTGGAGATATTTTCCTCAATGAGGAAGTTTGCGAAAAATGTATTGGGGTGAGTCAGTTTAAATCAATATATATTTTAATTATTCCCACAAAACTGGATTGATTTATTTGTTACGGTTTATCAACCCTTTGTGGGTCATTTCCCGCCGAGACATATTTAAGCTTTTTGAATATCTTCAAAGATACATTACAGTCAGCAGGGACTGCCATATCAATAAGGAGGCACTTTTTTTGTTTGTGGTCTTTAACAACAATGTCTGGGCGGTTGGCTTTGATTGTTCTGTCAGTGTGTATTGTGTAATCCCATAGAATTGTAACAGGTCCTATCTCCGTAACCGAGTCTGGGTGGTGTTCATACCAATTTCTTTCAGTTTCCTTCCCGTAGAAGTTGCAGATTTTCCAGTGCAGATATTGGCCTGCTCTGTCATGCCGGGTTTTATATTCAGTGGGTGCCAATATCGTGCAACCTGATACAAGATGATCAATCGTTTCTGGATATTTATTACAGAATCTGCATTTTGGGCTGACACAATATTTTAGTATATGTGCTTGATAAGTCCTAGTTAGCAAGCATTGGTCCTGTGCAGCAAGGATAAAACCTTCAGTTTCCGCTTTCAACCCTGCACTACGTAGCCACTGATGAGTACGGGTTTTGTCTACGTCAGCTTGTTTGGTAAGGGCAGGGTATTGGCCATGAAGCGGTTTATCTTGCCATTATTTCTGTATCTGGTCGGTTGCATTCGTCTTTGCCGTCTTTTTTAAGTATTTTGCAGTTTCAGCCGGTGTATTGTGCTGTACTTGCATTTGAAACTCCATTTTGAATGTGTTGGCTTCTTTTATTACGGAGTAAAGACGCTTACTACTTTCATGTTCCTTGACGCATACCATCATCCAGTCTTCTGTAGTTTCCAAGTATCTTTGTTGCAAAAATGAAACCGTTCTGTTCGTTAAGAATAGAACAGAGACCCTGCTCGAGAGAGTATCTGATAGTCCATATAGATATGTGTGAGAAAACGGTATATGAGAGCGATCAAAAAAGAAACAAAGACAAATAAATAATGTATCTGTTCCCTTTAAAGCTGACATGTTCCAAGAAACACAGCAGGTGCTTGAATCCACGAATAACAGCGATATTTTATGTACATAGGGTGCTGAAAAGACCTTTGCCCTATGGTCAGTCAAGTGCTGTACGCGATACACGCTTCGGCGATTATGTCTCTTCCAATTTATGCAGATCGGACAAGGAAGATTTTCTCGTAGTCGGCTGGTCCTGCCTATTCAACGCATAGATAGGAGAAAGGATATTTGGGCATAAGTGAATGGAATGAACCCGACTGGAATCCGAACTCGGCTCACCGATTGCTTACACCAAGCTGATATACATGACACCACACACATTTCTGCAAATCTGATTAGAAATTTGAGAATTAAACCATTCTTCTTTGTCAGAGTTTATTAACATAAAGCTTTTTCCTCTACATCCACTGATGATAAATTTATAATTCTTAATAAAATATTTTAGCTAAAACTAATAATAAAATAAAACAACAAAACAATTCTAACAATTAAATGTAAAAAAAAATTTAAGATTCGTTCTTACCGTAAATGTTATTAGGCACAATATGAGAAATTGTCAGATAGCAAACACGCCATTATATCCCAATTAGTTTTTACTAGAGTTACTATTGATGACGTTGAAAGAATGGCAAAGATATTCATTTTTGAGTGTGCTATGATTTTGTCTGTATGGGCCAAATGGTTAGCACGTTCCCCTCCTGACCATGAGCCCCGGGTTTGAATCTCACCATGATCGATTTATCAGGAATGGAGTTTTCCTGATATTTTCGAAGTATAGGGTCAATCCCAGCGTGTGGCAAGTGTGAAGTGCCTGAAAATCATTGTAGTAGAGACGGTATCTTTGGGGTCGTCGATAGCACGATGTCACAAGTCGAGTGCTTGAGCGTGCTGGCCTTGTTCAAGTTGTTGATTACGCTAGATAACACTCTCTTTCAGAGAAACTTTAAGGTCTGCTCGGCATAATCGCAGTATAAACCACAGGTGGGCCCTGTGGGTCTTGAATAAATACAAATGCGCCTGAGAAGCAATAGTGGGTGGCTAGCCACCCTAGTAGGCGGGTATCCTCGAATACGAGTGGCCAGTGATACATACATGATTTTGGCTAGAAAATTGGCACAAATTAAGTAGTATCACTTAGTGTCTGGTACCACTTTTGCAGTTCAACCTTATAGACGATATCGACAAAGACTTTTCCAAAACGGAAGGTAAAAATAGCTTATCTCGAAGACTCCCGCTTGTCCTCCAGAAATTTCACTCACTTTAGCTTAATTTCCAGTTCCTTCTTCCGTTTTTTTTTTTTTCTGCAATCGCTCCACACCTTCAATTTTCTTTCTTTTGCATTTTTTTTTCTTCTTCCAATCGTCTATTTATCTTCTCAGACGACTGTAGATATTTTTGAGTTTTGATTTACTGGGACGAAGTGGCGAGTGGGAATGTCTAGGTGATTTTAGATTTTTCAAGTATTCAATCGCTGGCTTTCCCAACCCACTTGCCAAAAGCATCGGCCGAGCCCAATTGATAAACTGCTATCGCAAATAATCTCGTAGGAGAAAGGTCGCCCGATATCGCCCGGCGTCAAACAACCAACTAGTTTCTACTGAGTGTTCTTTTCTTGATTGTCATTCGTTTGGACAGAAGATTGGGTCGAGGAGAAAATTTCCAGCATTTCTAATGACAAAAGTTTTATTTACATAAATCCATACCATTATTATTTAGACATTAAATATTTGTATTGGCTTCCTATGGCCTTATGCCACCTTTCAGCTAATTTGTGTATTTGTTAATCCTTTGCCAGCACTTTTTCGGCAAAACGCTTTCGTCCCCTTAATACCATTGCTGCCAAAGACATTCGCCATAGGCATAAAATCGGTAATTGAAAAAAATCATTACTCTATTCAACAATAGATAGATAGATAGATAGATAGATAGATAGATAGATAGATAGATAACATCACAATCTAAGTGTAATTATAAGGCAGAAAAAATACTGAGAATCACTATATGTGTTTCGAGTGCCATAATTTTCAGTGTCTTACAGCAACGTAACAACGAGAGATAAAGGAGTACCCAAATTTGAATAAATATCTTTATTTCTAAGCGTTTTCTCTGACTGTGGGGGTGGGGTGGGGGTTCTTTATTTCCCACAGGTAATTTCAGCCTCTCTCACTCCCCGCCCACTTAAAAATAACAGACACAAAACAATCTCTTCAACCTTTTCGCTTATTAGGTCAGTATATACCTTCGATTTTCTGATGAACTGTGGAATCGACAGACCCTGGGCTAAGTCAGGGTCTCGGTTCTCCCAGAAAATCACTTGCCCATCTCACCGTGTAAAAATGTTCAAATCTAATTCTAACGCGCAAATCCTTCCTCTCGACCCCTTTGATTTAAAGGCCTTCCCTCTTAAAACATACTAAAGACGGGCCTAGACATCAGTGTCAAACCAGTAAGAACCCTTGCTTTCCAAAACATTCTTTCTGTGACAAATGCTAATAAGAATGTTATAATCTTATTAAGTGTTACACTCGTTAAAGCGCATGTTTTTCTTATGATTTCTAATCCAAACGTGAACACGGCCACCATTGACTAAGAGATCTGCCGCCTTTTTCGATCACCTTCTTTGTTTTAAATATGTCGATTCAAAGTTCGTTTACCTAGTGAGCGATTACTTCTGCCACGGTCGAATCAGAACATCTTCGAAATCGGGAAATTAAGGAAACATTTATTCAAAGCTAAATCCTTTCAACAGAAAAGTCATTAAGTAAATAGTGACCAGTGACAGCTCTTACACATATACCGGAAGAATGACTACGGGTTGCAAACTCACTTCCGGCAAATCAAATAAAAAGCCAGATTTCCTTTGAACAGATTTAATGAATAAATAATATTTTCTCCTTTTGGCATGTCATGGACGTTGTCAATGTCAGCTCCAATTTTCATACCGAAAGTAACTTTTAAACGATTTCTTTTTCGTTAGCGGAATATTGGTATTTATTTGAATAATTAACTGTTTTGAGAGTAAGGGTGAGATTAACTGTTTCCACGCAGGAAACATTCGACATTCATTAACCAAAGATAGCGTTAGTGTTGTTTGAAATTTATAAAATCCTTCTCTTGAAACAATTTTTTCAAAAAATTAAACTTCTCTTTCCAGTATTAATGGAAGTTTCCTTCCTAACATTTTTTTTAAGTAGTATGTAAAAAAAATGAAAGAAACTATTAATGTATTTTTTCTCGTTTCGGCGAAAAGAAATTGTGAGATACTAGAGATCAAGCGACAACAAGGCCTACTCTAAAAAAAAACAACAAATGACTAGAGATACTCGATGACATATAAAAGCAAAACAATTTTACTAAAATAAAATAAAAGTAAATTTTACTAAATATTAGGGAAGCAAATTTTTAGTGGTTTGTGCCCCTGCGACACCGGAAAAGAGGTAATAAATACCTGGACAAGTAACTTATTTTTCACACTATTTACATTATTCGGACTATTGTCCTCACTTTCGTCGCCATATTTATTACAACATTTCCGCCGTTGTACGCTCCGGCCTTCTTCAAGTGGTTGGCATGTCGAATTGAACTCTTTATTTCGCTCACTGTTCTAGTTCCACATGCCATGTTGATAACTGACATCCATTAAACATGGCACGTGGAACTAGAACAGTCTACCCCAGTGAGCGAAATAAAGAGTTCAGATCAACATTCCAACCACCTGAAAAAGGCCGGAGTGTACAACGGCCGAAAGTTTATAATAAATATAGTGACAAAGATAAGGACAATAGTCCGAATAATGTAAATAATCCACTTTCGTTTGTTAAACATTAAATTATGTCCCTTAGCATCCTCCATAGTTTATCTCGACTTTCAGTTAGCATGGCGTTATTAATCAGCGTTCTTAAATTTTAAAAAATTGCAAATTAACGAAAGTTTCACTCCTGTTTATAAATTCTTATTGCAAAATAAAATCCTTACAATTGCCCTTATAAAGTCACTCAGAGGACAAAACGTGACGGTTAAGATAATTTTTCTTTCGTTTTTATTCATATTTTTTTAGTAATATCTGAATTTTATACATACATATATATATATATATATATATATATATATATATATATATATATATATATATATATATATATATGCCGTTTTTCTGCTTATAAGATGCATTTTCCTATATAATATCCAAAAACAAAAACACTCTGCCTTCGATAAATCGAATGTTCGTGATTGAAGTTATAAGTTTGAGGTGTGGGGTCAATGTCAGTTTAATGGATGTCAGTTACCAGTTATCTCCTGTTAATTGCCCTTTCCAAGTTCTCCACTGCCTTAACCGGGTATTGAACTCATACTCTTTGGGCCCTGGAACTGGCACATGGCACAGTGGATAAAGGCATTGGTTAGATCCAGTGACAGAACCCAAAGAGTGTGAGTTCAATACCCGGTTAAGGCAGTGGAGAACTTGGAGAGGGGGATTAACAGGAGATAACTGATGTCATCCATTAAATCATGGCATGTGGAACTAGAACAGTCTACCCCAGTGAGCGAAAAAAAGGGTTCAGTTCGACATTCCAACCGCCTGAAGAAGGTCGTCGCGTACAACGGTCGAAACGTCGTAATAAATATGGCGAAAAAGATGAGGACAATATTCCTAATAATGTAAATAGTGTACATAATACTTCATCTCAGAAATATAGACAGGTATTGAAAGGCCGAAACGTTGTAATAAATATGGCGACAAAAATGAAGACAATATTCCTAATAATGTAAATAGTGTACATAATACCTCATCTCAGAAATATAGACAGATATTGAAAGGCCGAAACGTTGTAATAAATATGGTGATAAAGGTGAGGACAATATTCCTAATAATGTAAATAGTGTACATAATACCTCATGTCAAAAATATAGACAGATACTGAAGGACCGAAACGTTGTAATAAATATGGCGAAAAAGATGAGGACAATAGTCCGAATAATGTAAATAGTGTACATAATACCTCATCTCAGAAATATTGACAGATATTGAAAGGCCGAAACGTTGTAATAAATATGGCGAAAAAGATGAGGACAATATTCCGAATAATGTAAATCTTAGAAATATAGACAGAATTTTTTTTTTTGCAAAAGAAAAAAAGGCTCAATGAGAGTTGTAGGAAAAAGATCAAGTTTACAATCAAAATCAATCAAATAACATGAAAAATCATAAGAAAACAAAGAAAAGTGTCAGCATATACAAAATAATGCAAGGAAGAAGATATAATAAAAAGGGTTTCAGATGGGGTCAAACCCAGTTAAAGGGGGTTTATTTACCTTACCGTGATTTGATGTGAGTTGTCGAAGTTTGTGACAGAATCCTTTCATGACTTCAGAGTCTTCAACGTAGAGCATTGGTTTGAGAACAGCATTTGTTCGCTGTCATGGAAACGATTATTTTGTTACAATAGTTGGGGTGAAAATCTAAGTTTATTTTCACAAGAAGTTTCGCACAGCAAGGCATCAGACAGAGATCGGATTTTTGGTATAATATCATCTACACCAGGATTAACACCGGCCATAAGGACAACTGTCGGTGAGTTTTCCCAATTTCTCTGTTTATTTCTGGCGCCACTGATGAAGGAAAAAGGCGTGTCCGAAACTTCCGGACTTAATTTCCTTGCTTCATTTTTGTCAGATGATTAATAATTAATATTCAATAAATGTTATTCGTACTAATCACATTGATACCCTTCCGTTTCCCCTTGTTTTATTAATCAACCAACCTATATATATATATATATATATATATATATATATATATATATATATATGCAAGTATAGGATTTGTGTAGACGGAATAAAATTCCAATAACCAAAAACACTATTCTTAAATGAGTGCTCATTTCAGAGTGGAGCAAACATTATTTATTCAAAAAGTATACAAAAATAGCCATTTTGTTTCAACACTTCTGGTGTCAAGAAACAAAATGACTATTTTTTAGTGATGTTACAACATGCTTATGTTATAATTTTTGAATAAATACTTATATATATATATATATATATATATATATATATATATATATATATATATATATATATGTTATAATTTTGAATAAATATTATATATATATTCAAAAATTATAACATAAACATGTTAGAACATCACAACAAAAATAGTCATTTTGTTTCAACAATATATATATATATATATATATATATATATATATATATATATATATATATATATGCTTATTGCATATTGTGTATTTGGGTAGCTAACTCTCCTTTACACAAGTTTCATTGAAGACGACTGACAAGGCGGTGAGATTAATGTTTATATTATATTTTTCTTGTGTTTGTACAAGCCATTTCTTTTCTGGACATAGAATGTAAAAAAAAAAAACTATCCAAATGACTTGTAGATGAGAGAGCTTTCTATTAAGCCCTTATCCCGAGTTTTTTTTTTTTTTTAACTAGATATGTAGATTTTTATTCTCTTATTCTAACACTATATATAATATATATATATATGTGTGTGTGTGTGTGTGTGAACACCGTTTTGTAACATGTTGTCACTTATGTCAGTTCCATCTCGGTTCAATAACATCGGGCATAACATTTTAATGAAATGACTATTATGTTTATTATGCTTTTCTCTATATGTATTATTGTGTATGTTTATGTGATGCGCTATGTATTTATTTTTGTATTTATTTTTTTTATTTTTTACCCCCAAATTCTTGAAATGTTACTTAGATTTTTAATTTTTATTTCATATATATATATATATATATATATATATGTGTGTGTGTGTGTGTGTGCTTAGCTGTGTGTGTATGTGTTTATATATGTGTATATATGTAGGTGTGTGTATATAGGTATATGTATTTGTATGTATGGATGCACATGTATGTGTATATATGTATATTTATGTATACGTATATGGATGTATATATATGTAGATGGATGTATATGTAGATGTGTGTGTATGTTTTAGTATGTATGTACTCATATATATTTGTATATGGGTGTATATGTACGTATATAAGTATGTATATATAGTTAGACGGATAGATACAGGGATACATTGTTTATTTGTTTAAATGGGTGTATGTAATTGTATAGAAATGTAAGGTTTTAGGTATATATGTTTATGTGCACATATGCGTATGTCCATATGTATATATGTGGGTAAATGTGTATATATATGAAGGACTGGATGCGGATGTATGTATGTGTGTCTATGCATGTATGTGTGTGTGTGTATTTTTTGTATTTATATATATATATATATATATATATATATATGTATGTATGTGTGTGGGTGTAATATATATATATATATATATATATATATATATATATGTATGTGTACATGTGTATGTATGTATATGTATGTGAAAAGTGTGTGTATATGGATATAGGTGGATATGTGCATATATGTGTATATGTATGTGTGTGTCTGTGTATATATATATGTGTATATGTATGTGTGTATATGTATGTGTGTATATATATAAATAATGTATATATATATGTATATGTGTATGTGCGTGTATGTATATATATATATATATATATATATATATGTGTGTGTGTGTGTGTGTGAATGTGTGTGTATATGTATATATGTAGGTGTAATTATTTGTATGTTATAGGCGCGGTACTTGTTAGAAAGCGCTCAGTATCAGAGATAGAGCTAACATGTTGAACCAGATGTATGTATATGTGTATATGTATATATATGTATGTGTGTATATGTGGATATTTGTGTGGATATGTGGATATACTTATATGTGTATGTGGGTACACGCCTATGTGTATGTATATACGTGTATATGTTATTGTGTATGTGTTTATTCGCATGTGTTTTTGAACATAAAAATATAGGTCCTTGCTAGATTAGATAATCGTTAGATTTATTTTTTATATGTTTATATTTCATTTGTAACCTGTAGTCGATATTAAATTTGTCAAATTTTCTTAATTACACAGCGACCCTTTCAGTAAATGTCCTTCAATTTTACTTTCCTCCGCCCCATCTCTCTCCCCCACCTCTTCCTTCCTTTCCCTCCATCTTAGTCTGATCTTCAACATTAGATCGTCTATGGTGTGTATCTTTATGCATTAGACATCCGACAACATTCATATTTCTCTTACTTAAACCCCTTCCACTTACCTCTCCGAAAATTCTCTCTGTTAAGGTTTAATCTCCCTCCTTCTCTCGTCCGTTACCCCTCTCATTCGTCCCACACTCTCATACTAACACTCTCTCTAAATTCTGTTTTTATTTCCGGAGTTGTTTTTTCTGTTTTCTTTTTGAATTTGTAGGTCTGATGAATTTCATCGTATTTACGATTCCAATGGAATAAATTATGACCATGGAATATTAGTGTTTAAGCCTTTTTATTATATCCTTACTCTATCCTGGACATTGAGTTCTACCTGGATTCTTCCTCTTGGAATTTTTATTAAAAAAATATACAAGTATGTGTATGCACCTATGTATATATATTTTTATATTTTGCATATGTATGTGTATTTTACCACTAATATTATCTATCTATCTATCTATCTATCTATCTATCTATCTATATATATATATATATATATATATATATATATATATATATTATTTACATATTATATATGCGGATAGCGTGAAACCCAGTGTCACGAACTCACATCAATCCAACTCTCTCTCTCTCTCTCTCTCTATATATATATATATATATATATATATATATATATATATATATATATATATGTATATATATATATGTGTGTGTGTGTGTGTGAACTCCCTATATGATTTTGGTACACTTTTACCTTTTGGCTTCATCACCCTATGACGAAATTCAGCATTATTTTTTGTGATCTGTGCAGCCTTTTTTCTTCCTCAGACCAGCGGATTTGAAAAAAATTAATTCTATATTAACAAAATTAATGCTAGATATTGATCCATGAAATAGCCACTGAAGAGCGTTCAAAAAATTCTGTCTTATATAGATATAAAACAAAGGACAAGACAAATAGACAGATAGATAGATCGACAGATACGAGGGAGAGAGATAAAATATATATATATATATATTAGTGGTAAATATACACATACATATGCAAAATATATAAATATTAGGTTGGTGCAAAAATAATGACGTAATAATGTCGTTTTTTGACGTTAACGTCAAAAAAACGATTATTACGTCATTATTTTTGCACCAACCTAATAAATATACATACATGCATACACATATATATATATTTTGTATAAAAAAATTCCAAGAGGATAGAATCCAGGTAGAACTCAATGTCCAAAAAAGAGTAATATATAATAAAAGGTTTATATATTTTATATATATATATATATATATATATATATATACATAGATAGATAGATAGATATATATATATATATATCTATATATATCTATATATATATATATATAGATAGATAGATAGATAGATAGATAGATAGATAGATGGGACTTTAGGAAAAGTCAGACAGACAAATAGGGTGTCATATAGGAATAAAATGAGTAACTACCGACACCGAGGTTCGAACTTGACACTCTGGCTTTATAAATATATGTTTTCCGCCAGGTGTATAAATAGCGGTGTCAAGCTACTGACTGGGGTGATTATTGTGTGACGATTGAGTGGAACTATCCAGTCGAATTAGTGTGAATTATTGTGCGTTGATGATTTGGGTTTTGATTTAAGATTTACCGGACGTTAAGCCGAGCCCCGCTATTAACAAGGTATTCATTGAAATGGTTAATTATCTTTGGTTGACTTTTACTTCTTTGTTCTTGTTAAGTATTTATTTGCAGTTATAATTAAATACTGTTTTATCTTAACATTGAAGTCTTGAGTTATATTTAATGATTACCATACGCCACAAAGCAAAGACATAGAGAAATAGAGAGTGAAAAAGAGACAAATACATCAAAAGAGTGTTTGTGATTGGGGTGATAGATAGATAGATAGATAGATAGATAGATAGATAGATAGATAGATAGATAGAAAAAAGACAGAAATAAAGCGAGAGAGAGAGAGAGAGAGAGGAGGCAAAAACGTTAGAGAGAGGCACATAGAGAGAACGAGTAAGAAAGACGGCTAGATAGTGATACAGAGAGAGAATGGGAGAGAGTAAAAGAGAATTGATAGATAGACAGCGACAGAGGGACATGGAAAGAGAGCGTGAAAGAGTGACACATATGCACAGACAGGACGAAATACATTTAGAAAGATCCACAGAGTCAGAAAGAGAGAGTCAAATTATAGGAGAAACAGAGAATGACAGACAGATAAACAGAGAGAGAGAGTAACAGAAACTGTGTGTGAGAGAATGGAACAGAGATACAGAGAGATAAAGGAAAAAATATAGAGGGACAATGAGAGAGAGATAGATAAAAAGACAGACAGACAGAGAGAGAGAGAATGGGGAGAGAAAGAGGGAGAGAGAGAAATGGGGGGAGAATAATCAAAAACAGTTGAAATTGTCCAACCGTCGAGAAGGCATGACATCTTGAAGGGAATGTTCTAATATGGCGCCTTCGTTTTATTGACAAAATCCCAGTGCTTTTTGATGTATCAAAAGTACTTTTGCATGCAATCGTCTTTCTCCGAACGGCTGTCAGATTTAAAGATAATGCCGAAACACGACGCAATCAGTAGAATAACAAATCCACTTCTCGACTTGTTGTCAGCTTATAATGTTCGGTTACTTCTGACAACGCCGATCGCGCACCAAATCCTCACAAGTATCTGACGTTATGGAATGCACGAAGACAGTGTCACAGACAGGTTCTAAATCTAAGACAAAAAGAAACCAGAGTGACGCCCGACTCAAGTCCATTTGAGATAATAAAACCTAAAGAAGTTTTCTATCCGGCCCACATAACAAGAAAACAATAGGAAGTGATATCAGTTTCCGCAGTCTGGTTTAAAATTGATACTTTGCAAAAGATTTATTTGATTTAAAGCTTTCTAAAAATATTAATAATAATCTTATTATAATTCTGTTTGATCACCCCCCCCACCAACATTTAGTTAGCACGATCGTTACGCCTTGCCTATACTTCATAACTAATGGACTATTCCGTTTTGATTGTGTGGAAAGACGGAAAAGACATATCAGAGACGCTACTTGGATTCAATGAAAAAGTAAAAGAGTGTTTTAACGTCTGTTTCAGTGAAATGGAAAAACTTTCCAATTTCAATTTTTTTTTTAGTTTGTACCCTCTTACTTCTTCAAATAACACTCAACCTTCATAATTATGTATTGCAATATTTTGTTAAAGGTGCTAAACTCAAATAGAGAACGTCCACGGATATTTTATTTTCGTTGAACTCGCCAACTACTTATTCAGTCATTAACAGAGGAATTAAGATTCATCAGAAAATTATGCAATAATGAGATGTAAGTTCCAATGGAAAATCAAATATATATATATATATATATATATATATATATATATAAGGATAATATTTCCCATTTTATTGTTAAAATAGATACAAAAGTATCTCGTTTAAGAAAAAAAGGCAGGATTTAAGGCACCTTTCGGTCGACACTTCTTCAGAAAATTAATCGTCGTCAGTATAATGATTTTTTTCCTAATTATTATTCTAATTTGCTCTCTATCATACACTGATCTCTCATATGGACTAAAAGTCCTCTTTAGAATAATCCCCACCAATTACAACTTGGTATTATATATATATAGAGAGCAAGACCTTTCTTTTCTGGACAAAGGGTGTGTAAGAACTGTCCAAATGTTTTATATTTCCAAGCGCTTTCGGCTATACCTTTAGCCATTATGAAGGATGATTCGATTTTTCAGCTTAATTGGGGTGTGCGTTCTGTGTATGTCTTAGTGTGTGGTAGGGATATTTTTAATTTCCGAATACGGTTAGAACATTGTGGCTTTGTTCGTAGTTAATATTGTTAAGAGTTGGCTTTTTATTTTTTATTATTAAAGCTTCCATTATTTTAGTCTTTTTTAATTATTAAAGCTTCCATTACTTTTAGTCTTTTTTTGCAGGTGGATGCAGTTAATATATTTGTGTTTTCTACTAGTATGTTCCTAATGGAGTCGGGTAAATTTGTGTGTTTAAATGGGTTCTAACGGAGCTGTGATCAGATAGGTGTAACGTAAGACGTCTAGATAAGCATGTGGTTGTGTAACCGATGTAATTATTTATGAGTCCGGTTTGATCAGGAACACAGTTCATTAAGAGGCATTTGAACTCAGATAATGTTCGTTCTTTGTAATTTTGACTTAGTTGGTGTGTTGTTATTTTTGAGGATAAGATTAGCTGTCTTAAATTTTTTATAGTAGATAATTAATTTGATTTTTTTTTTATTCGGATCACTTGGGGTAGTATATTTCTTTATAATATGCCTTAGAGAAGATTCGTCTTATTTGTAATTAATATGCATTTGGTTTTTGTAATAAATGTGTACGTGATTTTTGGCTGTGTGTTCCCTATCGTTATTACTTGCTTTGAGGAGAAATAGTCTAATTTGTTGGTCTATAAGGTGGTTAGGGAAGCCACGGTTGATTATTGTTTGTTTAACGTTATTAAGTTCTTTGAGGAAGAGTAGTCGAGAGGATGAATTCTGGTGTGCTCTATTTAGAAAGTTTTTTATTACTGCTATTTTGTACCTAAGTGGACATTCGCTTTTGAAGTTAAGGTGGCACGAGTTTTTGCTGGTGGGTTTTTTGTATAATGATGTAATGAAAGTGTTATTGCTGTATTCAACGAGGACATCTAAGAATGGAAGTTTGTTTTTTTTTGGCTAAGTTCATATGTAAAGTTAAGAACGGAGTTTTTCTCAAATGTGGTCTTAAGTGTCTCTATTTCTTTAATGTTATTTGCTAGAATAAAAATATCGTCTACGTAGCGAACATAGATTTTTTCGGTTTTCGGACCTGTGTAAATATCGTATTTTCTACGTAGGACAAATAATAGTTGGAAAAGCACGGACCGAGTGGATTTCCCATACTAACGCCATTAGTTTGGGTGTAAATATTGCCATTATGGTCATAGAATGGTACTTTGGTTGCGCATGCGTGTAGTAATTTTTTAAGGAAGGATGTTTTGATGGATGGCGGAGGGATGAAATTATTATTGTATACAGAATTGAGGATAATGTCAATAGTTTGGTCGAAGGAGACGTTTGTAAATAAATTTTCGACGTCAAGTGACGCTATTATACCTTGGGATTTTTGTTTTTTGTTTTTTTGTAGTTTTTAAAATTTGCAGGAATTCGTGGATGGATGTGATGCTGTAATTGGTAGGTAGGTATGGAGTGATGATGTCGTTCAAGAATTTTGGACAGTTTTGACAGTTCTTACACACCCATTGTCCAGAAAGGAAAGCTCTTGTTCGAACACAGGAAAAATTAAATAAAAAGCTTAATCATAGTACCTTGTCTGTCGTTTTTAATGAAACATGCATATATATATATATATATATATATATATATATATATTTAAAAAATTAAAAGTTCCTTCTTGCTATAATATGAAACAGTCTTATGAAAATAAATTACAGTTCCCCAATGAAATCAGTACATTTGTTCTTTTAAATGCTGAATTCATTTATTGAAAATGGATACGAAATGGCATCGGAAAATTCCAAGGATTCCTGGGATCTTATTATTATTATTTGTTCATCTTCTTATTTTGTTCCCAATTCTTCTTCAGAACTTTTTATCATTCCTTCTTCTTCTTGTTCATCTTCTTTCTTCTTCTTCTTCTTCTTCTTCTTCTTCGTAGTTCATCTTTCTTTTGTTCCCCAATTCTTCTTCAGAACTTTTTCATTCATTCTTCTTCTTCTTCTTCTTCTTCTTCTTCTTCTTCTTTCTTCTTCTTCTTCTTCTTCTTCTTCTTCTTCTTTCGTTTCCTTTCTTCCCAGAGCTTTCTTTGTTCTTCTTCTTCTTCTTCTTCTTCTTCTTCTTCTTCTTCTTCTTCTTCTTCTTCTTCTTCTTCTACGCTTATCTTCGTTTCCTTTCTGAAGAGCTTTCTTCTTTTCTTCTTCTTCTTCTTCTTCTTCTTCTTCGTTTTGTTCATCTTCTTCGGGCTTTCTTTGTTCCCAATTCTTCTTCAGAACTTTTTATCATTCCTTCTTCTTTTCTTCTTCTTCTTCTTCTTCTTCTTCTTCTACGCTTCAGAACTTTTCTTCTTCTTCTTTTCTTCTTCTTCTTCTTCTTCTTCTTCTTCTTCTTAGCTTTGTTCATCTTCTTCGGAACTTTTCTTTGTTCCCCAATTCTTCTTCTTTTATCATTCCTTCTTCTTCTTCTTCTTCTTCTTCTTCTTCTTCTTCTTCTACGCTCTTCTTTCCTTTCTTCTTTCTTCTTCTTCTTCTTCTTTTCTTCTTTCTTCTTCTTCTTCTTCTTCTTCGTAGCTTTGTTCATTCTTCTTCTTCTTCTTCTTCTTCAGAACTTTTATCGTTTCCCTTCTTCTTCTTCTTCTTCTTTTCCCTTTCTTTCCTTTCTGAAGGCTTTCTTCTTCTTCTTCTTCTTCTTCTTCTTCTTCTTCTTCTTCTTTTCTTTGTTCCTTCTTCAGGGCTTTCTTTGTTCCCAATTCTTCTTCAGAACTTTTATCATTCCCTTCTTCTTCTTCTTCTTCTTCTTCTTCTTCTTCTTTATCTTCGTTTCCTTTCTTCTTCTTCTTCTTCTTCTTCTTCTTCTTCTTCTTCTTCTTCTTCTTCGTAGCTTTGTTCATCTTCTTCGGAGCTTTCTTTGTTCCCAATTCTTCTTCAGAACTTTTATCATTCCCTTCTTCTTCTTCTTCTTCTTCTTCTTCTTCTTCTTCTTCGCTTATCTTCGTTTCCTTTCTGAAGAGCTTTCTTCTTCTTCTTCTTCTTCTTCTTCTTCTTCGTAGCTTTGTTCATCTTCTTCGGAGCTTTCTTTGTTCCCAATTCTTCTTCAGAACTTTTATCATTCCCTTCTTCTTCTTCTTCTTCTTCTTCTTCTTCTTCTTCTTCTACGCTTGTCTTCGTTTCCTTTCTGAAGAGCTTTCTTCTTCTTCTTCTTTTCTTCTTTTCTTCCCTTCAGAATTCTTCTTCAGAACTTTTATCATTCCCTTCTTCTTCTTCTTCTTCTTCTTCTTCTTCTTCTTCTTCTTCTTCTTCTACGCTTATCTTCGTTTCCTTTCTGAAGAGCTTTCTTCTTCTTCTTCTTCTTCTTCTTCTTCTTCTTCTTCTTTGTTCATCTTCTTCAGACTTTCTTTGTTCTTCTTCTTCAGAACTTTTATCATTCCCTTCTTCTTCTTCTTCTTCTTCTTCTTCTTCTTCTTCTTCTTCTTCTACTTCTTCGTTTCCTTTCTTCTTTCTTCTTCTTCTTTTCTTCTTCTTCCCGTAGCTTTCATTTCTTCAGAACTTTTCATTTTATCATTCCTTCTTCTTCTTCTTCTTCTTCTTCTTCTTCTTCTTCTTCTTCTTCTTCTTCATCTTCGTTTCCTTTCTGAAGAGCTTTCTTCTTCTTCTTCTTCTTCTTCTTCTTCTTCTTCGTAGCTTTG